AAAGGGACGCTGTGGGTTTCAGGGTGAAGATCTTCTCTCACTACTCTAAAGGGCCCCCCTTGGCAGTAAGAAACACATAGACTATTATGGAGATTGATTTTGGAATTTAGATGCACTGTTATCAATTGTGCTTAGCCATACATGTTCATATCCTTGAAGATGTATCATGGAAATGTTGCAGCCTAGAAGATACAAATTTAACTAACAAGTTAAAAGTGCATGAGTCAAAAATGGAAAAGCAATAATATTCTGAGTAGAGGTTCTAATAGTGGCACAAATCAAGTTACAGAGGTAAGGTGGTTCCATTGCCATCCTTACTCTAACTTAATTCTTTTTTTTAATTTAAATTTGTTATTAATTTCAGTGAAAATTTACAGAGGCTTTGGATTTCCATTCATTCATTGTTGTAGATTTGTCCCCTCCCAAGGCTTCCCCCCACCAGACATCACCCTCTTGGAAAAGTAAAAGAAAAGATTCTTACATTATTTTACAAACCCTCCCCCAGGTCCACTCCACCAGGTAGCCATTGCTCTAGACTCCTGTCATGACAGAAATACCTAATCACATATCTTTATGATCATTCAATTGTGATTATTGCTTCAGTTGATCTCATTGAGGTTTCCCACACTTTCACTGACCCTCTCTACTTTACAAAACAATATGCCATTTTCAAGTGATCATTCTTTTCTGGTGATCTTTCCAAAATAAGCAAGATATAGTCTTGACAGTCTTGCTTCTAAGAAGAGTAGATAATAAAGCTTTTATCCCTAGTCGGTCTTAGTCTGGGAATTCTGCTACAACTTGTACATTAGGGATGGCCTTTCTAGTATTTCAAACACTGGTGGCATTAGCTTCCAACATCATAGTAACATGTAAGGAACCTACATATGACAAACTCACATATGAGATAAACAATAACAGATGATTTTTTCCCAAAAGAAAAAGATGATTCTCTCACACGTTTGAAACATGTAAAGAACATTACCCTTGAATGTAAATCAGAGAAAATAGAAAATGTTATTGTATTGAGCTTCTCTTCCTGATCATTGTTTCTGTCTGTTAATATGTATGTGGGCATATAAATATACTATATTAGGTAGCTTTGGTGGCTTAATGGTAAGAATTACACTGTCAATTCAAAGGCCGGCAATTTGAATCCATCAGCTGCTCCTTAGGAGAAAGATGGATGATCTCTCATGCAATTTACTGACTCTGAAAATCCCTGGAGAATCAGCTATGAGTTTGTTGTGACTTGACGCTACACAATAACCGGGATATAAATAAAATAAATGTAACCTACTTATGGGTATATCATTAATATAAACAGATGCAATACACATATATTTTAAATAAATATGTGTATATCTATAAATGTGAATAGATATGATTCTTCTGTTATATATATAAAATTCTCCCATGGAGATATATAAGCTATGATTATTTTTCTAATCTTAAAGTATTCAACTTTGATAATTTTGACACATATAGAATATGTAAATATATATATACACACACATTCATGAAACCATTAACATAATTAAGGTTATGAATATATCTATCACTCTCAATATTTTTTATTTTAATGAACATTTACATAGATTTTGGATTTCCATCCATTCATTTTTCTCTTAAAAAGTAAGAAAAATTCTTTCATTGGGATAAACTACCCCCAGTACACACCCCCCCCAATACACTCCACTATTCAACCTTCATTCTGGACTCTTGTCATAACCATAATACCCAATCATATATCACTTTTAAACTGTCCTCTCCCTCTTCTGTTTCAATGCAGTATACATTATTAATCTCTTCTTTCTCAGTCTCTCCCCAAGTTTGATGTCAGTCCCGTTCTACAACAGTGGCACTATGCAGTATTTGTCCTTTTGTGACTGAGATATTTCACTCAGCGTAATGTCCTCCAGGGTCACCCATTTTGAATGATATTGCATGAGTTCCTTGTTTTTCAATGCAGCGTAGTATTCCATAGTGTGAATATACGACAGCTTCTCTATCCATTTGTTTGTTGATGGGCACTTAGATTGTTTCCAACTCTTTGTTAACACTCTCAATAACTTTTTTTTTGTCTTGAAAATGTCCTATGTCCCTTTGTTAATTCCCCTTCCTATTCAGTCACTTCTATTCCTAAGCAACCACTAATATTCTTTCTGTCATTACAGAGTAGTATGTGCTGTTGTTAGGTGCACTGTAATTTATTGGCAACTTAGAGCAGCCCTATGAACAGTAGATCAAAACCTTGCCCTAACCTGTGTAATCCTTATGCTCTCATTTACACTCAAGGCCATTGTTTCTGTTACTATGTCAATTCATATGACCATTTTTTATATACAAGAACAAAATTTGACAGAGTAAATGAGTCAGATTAATATATCAGAGATCAAAATGAATCTTGAGTCTTTGACATCACATCATATTTTTTTTACACAGACACTGGCAAGTAACATGACTGTTTATGTTGCAGATTTAATAGGTTTTTAAACAGAGACCACATAGGAAATTTGGTCACTACTGCTGTCCTTAACCAGGAAAACGAACCTAGATATTCTCAGTTATTCACATTGGTTCACCCTATGAAATGAATTCTGTGATCCTAATGAAATGAAAAGTGTCATACGGTGGGAGACTGTCACAGATGCTTGAGGTTTTCTCATTAGAGCAAAAATGTGTGATCCTCTTCCTCAGTGATGTAGGAAGACCTTGGATTTGCTTTGAGGCAAATGGCTCAAACATAAATGAGAAGTCAATTACACAATGTCTATAATGTTGTTATTAACATTGCCAGGCACATAATAATCTTTTGGTTTTTAAGCCAATTATAGAAATATTTTATGTTTGTATGTTCTTAACTTTTGCTACATTTGTATAAGAATTTTACGTCGATCCCTTCCTTGGTCAAATAGAGGCTACTTTATAGCAGGCCCCTAGTAAGGGGCGTGTCTTTCTGAAAATCTGTCTGCAGTTGTTTCCTCTGGATGGTGACTCATTGAGCTCTAGACAGCTGGGGAAGAAGGTAGGTAACTGGGCCACTGGCTTTTGTGGCTGGGCCCTACCCACTGTCACTGAGGACCAAGATAGGCCCTTTCCAACTGCTTTTCCCTCTGGCCTCTCAAATCTGTAGGGGCGTATTTTAACTGCACGCCCAGGGGAAGAGGAATTTCATTATATTCTGTATTCGGGGTGGGGGTGTGTGGGGGGTGTGGGGGTGCGGATGTATGCTTCTCATAAACTCAAAGCCCCTCTTCTCCTTCCCTACTCTTTTCCTTTGTTATCTTCCTTTGATATGCACAATTGATGGAGCCTCCTGTAGTTTTTTTGCTATGGAAATTGCAGCTTCAAACCTCCCACCCATGTCCAAATTCTTCTATAAAGAAATACAGGAGACCAATCTGTGCCGCTTTGAAAATGCCTGGAAACTGATAATCTGGGGCGCAGAAAGGAAAGAAAATTTAAATTGTGATTGAGTTGTTTTTATTTTCCCCCTCCTTTGTTTTCTATCCATGCCCTTTTCTGGTCCCATGCCTCCCTGACTTAATCAAGGTTCCCCCTCCATCTCTGCAACAGGCTAGAGGGCGTCATCTGCCACACTCTGCAGAGCTCCTAGTGCTGCCCAGCTTTCCTAAGCTGAGCTGCAGTGCAGTGCTGCACACTTGGATCGCAGAGCCCCCCTCCCCTCCCAGCGTGGACAAAAGCCCCAACCCCTCATTTGAGACTCTGAATTTAGGCAGCAGCAGTGGGCACTCTTGCATAATAATAGTTAGTAGGGATGCACTTCTGAAGAACTGGTTCTGAACTAGTGTACGCTTATACTGGAAAAAGGGTGAGAGAGGCTTAGCAAGGTAGCAAATTCCCCTCAGTGGATATCTGGTCTCTTTGTAGGAGTCGCTGCTCTGTTGCTCTTAATTCCTCCCACAGTCATCCTTGGTGAGTATTCCCTATCCTGAGGCTTTGATTTCCTGACACAATTTCTTCAACTTTCACCACTTTGTGCAGGTCCTGTTTTAAGGTTCCTACTGGTGGTGTCCCGAAATCCTCTTATCCTACCTCAACTTGTTTCCTAAAGGAACTCACCCTAAGCAGAGACTGCAGCAAAGCTCTCTGAGGCTGTAAATAAGTCTCAATGGAAGTCTCTGTACAATAAACCATCAGATGGATTTAAACCACCAACTTTTGATTAGCAGCCTAACATAAAGCCTACAGGAATCTGAATGACAACTCCTCTACATTCTATGCACATTGTTGTTACTATTAGGTGCCTTCAAGTCCAGCACTACTTGTAGAAACCATGTGAACATCAGATCTGAACCCTTGCTTATCCTTTGCCATCCTTATTATCTTTGGTACATTTGATTCCATTGCTGATGTTGATGAGTGCTGTTGAGTTGGCATCAACATCTTTGACCCTCCAGTGGGTTTTCATTCGCAGCAAATTGTACCATGGAATATTTCCCATCCTTTTCCCATGGAGGAGATGATGGATTTGAAGTGCTTGCATTTGGGATTACAGCACAGGTTTTTACCACTAAGCTCCCAGCTGCCTTTTCAGGTTCTTAGCTGTGTTTTCAATGGAAGGTGCTATTGGTGGCAATTACAGTTTAAGCAGCATCTGTTGACAGAACAGGGAGGGGCTACTTGGGAATTATCTGTTGCAGAATGACCAAAGAGCTGCTATCTACAGTATTTGAGCTGGTTCTTAGGACCAAACACACCTGTTAAGTTACTGGGTAAAATAGCCGTAATGAAAATTATAATCTAAACCTGTAAAAAGTTATTTCTTTCTTCCTATTTCACAGGAACTGGTTGTCCAGATTATAATAAAAATTAGGAGACAAGTTTTTTTTTAATGTAAAGATAGCATTTATACATAGACTATCCACTTCCTAAACAATATACCTCCAGAAACTCTATGAACTTTGATGAATGTCAATTGTTGTAGAGGGGCTTCAGGCCTTTTGTTCATAGGGTTGCTATTAGTCGTGCTCAACATGAAGGTAATCAACTTTTTGCATAGAGTAAAAACAGTGGAGTCAGTGATGAATCACAGATGAAAAGCAACAAGTAAATGATGTAAGATGCAGGCAACCAGAATTCCTTAAAAGGCAGGAGTACATTTTATTTTGTAATAATAACAAATATAATGACTGTAATATTAATATCTGTTATTATTGATTAAATGCCTCCTATAGGTCGAACAAAGAGCTCAGGTGCTTGTTGTGTCATGCTGCCAGCCAAAAACCTGGTGGTTTGAATCCAGTAGCAGCATTACAGGAGAAAGAAGGGTAGTTTCCTGTTAAGATTTACAGCCTCAGAAACCTGGTAGAGGGTAATAGTGAGTTAGAACCCACTATATTCGGCTACACTAAATTGGGGCTGAACAAAGAGCCCAGAGCCTAGTGGCATAGTATGTTAGATGCTGAACTGGAACCCCAAAGGACTAGTTCAAATCCACCAGCCACTCTTCAGGAGAAAGATGGGCAGTTTTTCTGTAAGGACTTCAAGCATTAGAAACCAAAGGGGTTGGGTTTCAGGGTGTCCTAAGTCTGAATTGAGAGCAAAATTTTGGCTTCTGTATGGGCTGAACATTATGCTAGGGATTTCATAATTTCATAGGGATTATGCTTGTATTGATTTATACAAGAGACAGCTATTTTAGAAATGCTTATGAAGAAAGTTTTTAGAAAAGTTCAGAGAGGTTAATTGTACCCATAATTTTGTATAATTGTATTCAATTTGTATTTGAAAAAGTGAGACTGCTGCTGAATTTCCCTCAGCATGCTTTAGACATTTCCTGTTTAGTGGCTAATTAGTGAACTCCGAGAAGATTAGAGGTTTAACTCTTCTAGTAAAATCAGCCTTGTAAAAAGATTTGGTGATCTTTGCTGAAAAAACCCACCCTTAATGTCACCATGAGTTGGAATCAACTGAACAACAACTGGTGATTGTAGTGAGTCTCACAGCTTTTCTATTGGGGCTGATGTTTAGAAGGGACCGTTCTAGCAGAATCTCACTTAGAACCTTGATAGAGGGTTCTTGGCCCAGACTTTCTTCTCCATCTGAGCTCCACTGTTAACCCTTCAATATATAATTACTCCAGAGATAAACAAAGAAGACAGATTTTTTTAAATAAAGCTAACCCCCAAATATTTCTGTTATCTTGATGTGTCTTTTCTATAGAAATTTTGTATCACCATGGGGCGCCCCTGTGGCCTACTCACAAGTCAAGAGAAACCAGGTAAGCCAGCTTTGGTGTCCTTTCACTTGCCTTGCACAATGTATAGCTAACTTCCAGTTGTTCAAATGTGTTTAACTCTTGATTTCTCGTGCATTCCCAGTGCCACTGAAGAGCATCTCTGTTACCTTATCTATACATGAGTTTGTTGTTGATGTGTCTGCAACCTTAAACTATGAAAACAAGGAGCAGTTTCCTGTGGAGGCCTTCTTTGTGTTCCCGATGGATGAAGACTCCGCTGTATACAACTTTGAAGCCTTGGTGAATGGGAAAGTAATTGCAGCAGAATTAAAGGACAAGATGAAGGTACTAGAAATGAACAATATTCTTCTTTCTGTTTTCTTTTAACACATGCTCTTTCGGATTATTGTCAAATGAAACTATGAAAACACAGTGCTTCGGACTGATTTCTTTCTCCCCGCCCCAAAATTATTTTAAGAAAATAAAAACTAGGGAAAATTGAAGGAAGAATCCCTCCCAATTCCAGTCACTAGTCCTTTTCCACACACCCTGCTCTTCATCAGCCATCAGCTTTGATATCACCTTTCTTTGTCACCCTTAACCTGTTCTCAGGCCCACACATTGTATGAGAATACTGTCTCTCAAGGCCAGGAAGCCTTCCTGTTGGAGGAGGACATTAGCTCCAGAGACGTCTTCTGTTGCAATGTGGGCAACCTGTTGCCTGGCTCAGAGGTGGCACTCACCCTGAAGTTTGTGCAGGAGCTGCCACTGGAGCCAGACGGGGCCCTGCGCTTTGTGCTCCCTGCTATCCTCAATCCTCGATACCAACTCTCCCGTAAGTACTCCTGCTACTCCAGGTAGCAGGTATGAGGGTGGCCTATACCTGAAAAAATAGAACTAAAGCATCTTTTTTTGTAGAATGTCCTGTGAACACATGTTTTCAAATGATGAATCCTATGATTTCTTTGGAAAACGTGCCCTATACACTCAGTCTGACCGCCACCATCAGTTCCCAGCATGGCATTGAGAAGGTCCACTCCAACTGCTCTTTGACATCTCTTGAGTACCTTGGAGATGATAAGACTACTGCTCAGGTAATTATTAAGAGCAGTGTTATTGTTGATGCTCCCTAGAGGATCCTCACCACTCATTCCTTCTTTCTTCTTTCCTTCACTTCATTGAAGGTGAGTCACACTGTGCTCTCGTTGCTGCTGTTTAATGTTTTTGCCGTGATTTTATTCTATCCCCGACCCCCAACCATACCCAAACATGAGGTCTTGTGCCCTGAAGTCTGCCCCAGGCAGCAAGCAGTAATAATTCTAATGCATCTCCTTGGCCTGTTCCCTCCTCAGATTTCCCTGGATGATGGGCACAAGTTTGATCGAGATGTGCAGCTCCTGATTTACTACAGTGAGGTGCACACCCCCAGTGTTGTTGTGGAAATGGGGAAGGAGAAAACAAGTGAAGGTAGTTTTTTTCTTTTGTAGTTTTTTCATACCTGGTAGTCCCCCTTCTTGGGTTTATCCTTAAATTACCTTTTCTTCTCATTTATTCAAGGACATATTATAGATGGTGATGTAAAATGTTGAAATAACCTGTGTTTGGGCAGGCAAAAAAACTCCAGGGAGTACTGGTGGCTTAGTGGTAAGGAGTTGACTTTCTAACCTGAGTCAGTTCCACCAGCTGTTTTGTAAGAGAAAGGTGGGCAGTCTCCTCCTGGACAATGTGCAGTCTCTGAAAACCCACTAGGGGGTCTGTTATTAGTTCTAACTTGAAGATACATGACATCATAACATGTCTTGTATGGCCTAAGTGATACTTCCTGTGGTAAGGCATTCGTCGCATTAGTGAAACAAAAGTATCCTTGATGACAGCCATTTTCAAAGTTATGTTTGACTTTTGTCTCTTGTGTCTACAACTACAATTGCTGTGAGGACAGTTACCTGGAACTGATCTACAATAGGAGGCCATCTGTTCTCACTATTAGTGTTTGACCAAGGTGGCTTTATATGTGAGCTCACAAAAGTAGCTTTATATACTTGGAACTCTTGACCTTTCTTTCACATATGTATTACTTTTGTCCCAAAACAAGCTGTGCCTGCATACAGGGACTTCCAACCTCAAGTGATAACTTTGCTATAATTGGCTCATCTACCATAAACTTCCATTTGTATATTAGTTTCTTGGTTCACATGTGGTAGGTCTGGGAGTGTCAATGTTTGAACTCTACTAACTTCATTAGGGGGAAAAATCCCCATCAAAGGTATCAGCAGCCCAATTCCTATGAGCCCCTATACCTTTTATACTAATTCAAACACCAAATATTCCTCTCACAACACTCCTTATTCTGCTGGGTTTCTTAATTGTTGCAGTAGCCACACAGAGCTCAATGACAATTCTGACAGTTATAGAGGGAAGAAGCAAGTTACAATTCAGGATCAGATGACTTTGGACACAATTGTTCATTCAAGAAATCTGCATTAAGCTGTGCAGAAAAGAAGACATTTTCCTCTAGCTCTGATCTCTGCTTTCTCAGGCAAATTTGCAAAGCTATTTTAATTTTTCCATTTTTAAGTGTCTGGCATCTGTTATTCTGCTATAAGCCTGGGCCTGAAGGTGTTTGATTCTCGCTTTGTGAGTTGGCAGATAGAGCTCCTAAAAAAATGCAAAAATACTCACTTCTCCAGAAAACACTCACCTTTCTCATAACACAGGTTGGGAATCCCCAGCTCTGCCACATGCCTATTTACTGGGTCTGCAGATCAACTGCTGTTGTTTTTCTGCTGCTAGTCACTTGCTGTCTTTGTTTTTATTTTTAAATTTTATTTTATTAATTTTTTATTTTTTATTTTTTATGTGTGTACCGTCAAATTGGATCTGACTGGTACAGTAGGCGGTTGTTCCTCCTTCTTCAGCAGAGCATCCGGTGGATTTGAACCATGCACCTCTGGGATTGTATTTTATTAATTTTAATGAATATTTATAGAGATTTTGGACTTACATTCATTCACTGTTTCACTTTTCTCCCTGTCCACCCCTCCCCTCCAGTTCACTCTTCTCTTTGAAAAGAAAAGAAGAGAAATTCCTTCATTGGTGTACAATCCCCCATCTCCCTCTACCCCCATTCCCGTCCCTGAGTACATTCCACTAGCTCTCCAGCTCTAGTTCAAGGACCTTTCAACTCAGGGATTTCAGATCCAACTCTGACATGCTGAGCTCTCTGGTTCTTCTTTCCTGGTGGTGGTGAAATTCCTTATTCTCTACTTTGATTTTGGTTCATTTTAAGTCAGGTAGGATGGCAAAATGGATATCTCCATTTGATGGTTCATGACATGTTACTTGCATGTTCCCACCTGAAATATGCCATTTATATTATTAACAATGATTTAATCCCCTTTGTGGGACACAAATACCTCACATTTGCATAGTCCTGCCCAGGAGGTGAGAGCTACAAAGACCATTGACTAGAAAATGCCAGAAGTAATTGACAGCATTTAGCTTTGGATTTTCTTTTGATGTATTCCTTTACAGGTACCTGAATCCTACAGTAGTACCATGAACTTCAGTCAAGACTCTTTTAATCCTCTAAAGAAAGTTTATCATGTTAGAGCTCAAAAAATTCTGCTTGTCATATAATGCCTTTCCTTCTAAAAAGTCTTTTATCTACTGGACAGATCTTCCCATTTAACCCCCATTACCAGCTCTGCAAGTTAGTTGTTGAGTTGTTGTATACTGTAGAGTTGAAACCAACCCTTGCTGACCCTCAAGCTGCTGGCTGAAATTGCAAGCCTTCAGGATTGCAGTACAGCATCTTGCCCTAGGCCACAGCCTTTATCAGAGTATGTGAATCCTTTCCTACAGAGCCTGAAGTCTTGCTGCCTAGATTAGTATTTGATTCAGAAAACCTGCTTCATTTCTACCACACAGAGAATCAAAGGAAGAAGAGTTTGATCTTCAATTATGCTGAGATAGGGAGTTATGGTGGCTTAGTTACAGAGTGTTGCTCTGCTAACGCAAAGGCCAGACCTCTCTTGTAGTTTGAATTTGCCAGCTGCTCCACAGGACAATGATGGAAAATCTCCTGCCATGCAATTTACAGCCTCAGAAATCTAACTAAGGCTCAGTTATGAGTCAGCTCTAACTTGAAGACAATGCGAGAGATATTACACTCTGACATTCTTTGCAGTGTGGCCTGTTTTTATTCTTTATTTTGGGTTGATCAGTGAGCACTTCATTCTCAAAGGTGTTGGCTTGACCTGGGCTCTGTAGGACACTTTTCCTTTTAGCTCTTATAGATCATCAGTTTCAACAATTGAAATGCACGTTGTGTTTTTCAGAACTCTAATTAAAGAGATAAGCATGAGGTAGATTTTCCACTGAATTGATTTGACTAGAATTAGTGTTTCTGCCAATCAGTTTACTTGATTCTTCTGGAAAGTGGTGGAACATTTTAGACTAATATGTTTCACTTCTTTGTCTAGCAGCCAGGAGATGGATGTATGCCTTTATGATCTTTCTTATCGATTCTGCTCTCTCTTTTACATGTTTATGACTCACTTCAAATGTAACAGATTTGATGCAAGTTTCCTATGCATTGCTTTATATATATTATCTCTATCTATCTATCTATTCCCCTCTTTCCCAACTTCATATTCATCTAACTACAGTTAACTCTTGTGACCAGCAGGATGCTTGAGTTCCTTTTGCTTTACATTGTCATTATCCTTTCTGAATAGATTCTTTAATGGAAGCAACAACTGCAATGGTGAGTTTCTATCCTGATATCCCGGAAGCTCAGCCACCCATTACCTGTGGAGAGTTTATCTTCCTCATGGACTGCTCAGGAAGTATGCGATGCCCCATGAGTAAACGAGATAAATCCCAGTTGCGCATAGATGCTGCCAAGGTAAAATGACTTTCTTTATTGAGGATCACATACTTCAGTGAGGATGAAAATCAGGGGTTAAGTTAACTAACTTGGCCATTCTGGGGCCAATTTTGGAATACTATGCCTCAAAGATGAGAGATGGTGAAGACCAAGGTCATTTAGTGTTAGATTTGTCACTGTCTTTATCTGAGAGTGCCATTCCTTACTCTTTGTCCTCATTCCTTTTTACTTATAGGAGACACTGATTTTTCTGCTTAAAAGTTTACCTGAAGGCTGTTATTTCAACATCTTTGGATTTGGATCTACCTATGAGTCATTTTTTCAGTGAGTTTCCAGAAAGACCATCAAGAATCCCAAATATTTAAGAAGAGAGACTAGGTTGTTAAAGATGTGACCACAGACTTGAAGTAGACATTAAGGATTTCAGATAAGATTATTATAGTTTGGAGGTATCCCATTGAAGGGACTTACCACTGAGTAATGGAGAGGAACCATGATATAACTTAGTATATTTGTTTTTCTTAGGGACAGTGTGAGGTACACTCAGCATACAATGGAAGAGGCATTGAGGAGAATTAAGCTTATGAAGGCTGACCGAGGAGGCACTGAAATATTAACACCACTTTATTCCATATATGGATCACCCCCTATCCCTGGCCATCCAACACAGGTAAGAACAGGAACAAGGGTAATAGAACAGGGCAAGAAGATAAACATTTCTGTTTAAGAATCTCTTGTCCTGAGCTACTGTGCATGATTATTGAAATAGAATACTTGTCTTGGAGAATGATCTTTTGTTGTTTTTGTTATGTCCCATTGAGTTAATTATGATTTATAGCCACCCTACAAAAAATGGGTCAAAACTTTGCCCTGCCCTGTGCCATCTTCACAGTCTCCAGTGTGCTTCCATGTCAGCCACTGTGTCAGTCCGTCTTGTTGAGGGTTTTCCTCACTTTTTCTAACCCTCCACCTTTCCAAGCATGATACCCTTTTCCAAAGAATGGCTCCCTGTGACTATATCTTATAGTGAATTTAAATAGATAAGAGACATTTAATGGAATTTCTCATCTTTAGCACTATTCAATGGGCAATGGAAATTTCCTTGCAGAAACACACAAAACTTGGATTAAACTAATAGGGGAAGAAACTAAAACTCCCCAGCTTTCTACACAGACTATATGAGGACATATTAATACGATGCCTTTCTGAAGAGCAACAGGATATCTTTTGGAATATTAACTTTTTAAAAAAATGCAACAGTAACATTAAATTTATTAAATTATTACATTTTAAAAATGAACTTTATTGATAGTTAGTGATATCCCTTTTTTTCTCCCACAGCTTTTTATCTTTACAGATGGGGAAGTGACTGACACATTTAGTGTAATTAGAGAAGTTACCTTCAACAAACAAAGACACAGGTATGAAGAAAACTATATTTCTGCATGACTGAAGTCTATAGATGATATTAGGATTCCTTATAGGGAACAGACTGATTCCAAGGATTTCAATTCAGAATTTAAAATTTTGTCATTAGATATTTTCCTATATCATTGTTTCTCTCTATTAAAAGATAAAAACAATTTAATATTATCAGCAACACAAGAATATCATTGTTAACTTATGCTTTCTAAACCAACAAAGAATAAAAAGAAACTTGAGTAATAAATTCATTTTTTAACTACAAACATTTAATTAAGGTAAAAACTTTTAGAAAACTGTACAAATGGCTAAGTGCAATGATTTTACCACTGAGCGAACATGTATGTCTGGTACAGAGGTCAAGGAATAGAATGTCTCGATGTCTTCATATCTGCTTCTTCCCATTCATGTCCCTTTCCAGTCATCACCCTTCTCTCCCTCTTCAAAGGAAATGACTTTTATGATTTGTTGTATCATGCATAGTTTTTCCTTGATTTTGCATTTATATTCATGAGTCGTACAATATGAGTTTTTGGTTTTGTTTTGTGTTTTTCATTTCTGTTTCTGTCTTCTTTCCTTTTGCATATTGAGATTTATACATAATTTATGGTTGGCCATAATTAATTTACGTTAATATGTAGTATTCTACAGAATGGCTCTGCTATAATTTCTATATCCATTTTATGTTGGAAAAAAATAGTTTGGCTATTAAAAACTAATGCAGCTATGAAATTCTCATACATTTCTTTTTCACATGTACACACACACACACACACTTCTTTCTTTTATCAATATAGTTGACAGTTGTAGAATTTCTGGAAAATGCTAAATGATTTTCCAGATTATTGAGCTAATTTAATTTATACTAGAATTTTATGAGGATTATGGTCACATTGTTTCCTATCTAAAATCTGATACAGTTTGTCTTATTAGAGTTTCTCACTGGTATCTTGTGGCTTTAAATTTGCATTTTTCCAATTCTTAATGAGGTTTAAGGAGTGCTAATAGTGTAGTCTGTAGGGAAATGTGCTGCTAATCCCAAAGCAGCAACTCTCCTATGTTTTGAATCCACCAGCAGCTCTGTGGGAGAAAGATGGTATTCTCCTGTGCAATTTAAAGCCTCTAAAGATTTGTTGGAGGGTCAGCTATGAGTTGGTTCTATATCAGTAATAATGAATTTGAATTTTTAGTTTGAATGATGTTTAGAGCTATCATGTTTGCTTATTTGCCCTTTAAATATCCCCTTTTGTTATGTACTTTCAATTCTTTCTGTGAGCTTTTTTTAATCCTTGAAGAAGGACATTATGCTTCTTGGAAGCATAGAAGGCCCTGTATGAGATTGTCAGAGTAACTGCAACAATGGGGTCAAGCGTGTTGGAGATGGTGAGGTTGGGTCTAGGTAGGCATGGTTAAGAGAGCTGTTGTTCATAGGGTTGCTATGAGTCATAGTCAATTGGTTGGCACATAAAAACAACAGCAATTTATACTTTATCCTCTGACCCAGAATTTTTTTGATTAAATGTGTTTGAAATGTATTTTATGCTCCATAGCTTGCCTTTTCACCTTTAAAATGGTATAATTTGTGAATAGTTCTTAATTTTTATATAGCTCCTCTTTTAAAGCTAGATAGTATTCTTGAGTGTCTTGTTTAAAATGTATTCACATTCAAGGTTATGAAGATATTTTTCTTTGTTATTTTCTAGAAGTTTTGCTTTTTTATTTTTCCTTTTATTCTACAGTAGGGCTGAAACTCATTTTTGTACAGTTGTTAAGTTACCTTTTATTTCTACAGAAATATTAAATTAAACTTGTATTATTCATTGAAGCATTTACTCTCTCCTCTGGTGTACAGTCTGTGTCACAGACAATTATCAACACATTTATAGATTGTTTCTGGATCTTCTACTAATTTACTTTAGTCTGTTTATCTAGACTTGTGCAAGTACAACACCAACTAAATCAATGTCACTTTTTCCCCGATAGCATATTTTAGAATTATTTTATAAATTTTTATTAAAATGTGACAAAATATGTTTTTACTTTGTTTAGAATTACATTGGTTTTTATCAAGCAATTATGAAACTATTCAATATTTGTGGTGTTGAGTAATTTACTCTGGTTACAGGCTTTATCTTTTCATTTACTAAACCTTTTTCTCTAAATTTTAATTTCAGTGAATAATGTTTGTTTCCAGTATATTATTTAAAGATACTCAAACTCTATACACTTCATTCAGGTCTTCCAGTTTTCAACATTTGACACATTGTTTCATTTCTTATCTTTTCTCTGAAATATTTGAGAATAGTCCACAAATGCCACAACCAGAATGTGAACTAAGACTTTATATATATGTATGTGTGTGTGTGTGTATACACACACACACTTACACACACTTTAACAATAAAAATTTTATAGCTGTAAAAGTATTTCAAAATAGCATGCATATTTATATATTTTTAAATAATTTTAAACTAAATTTTAATAATTATAGCTATAACATTATTTTAGCTATAAATGTTATACGTATTTTAAAATTCCATTTAATATTGTTAGTTCTATTCCTGCTGACCAAAGTGCTTTTTTTAAGACCAGCTCCACAGACATTCTTAGTAGTTCTTAAATGTTCAAACAGCGCTTTATCCAGGTTAGAAATCCTGACCTTTTGCCTTCTCTGGTTGTAAGCACTGAAATTTTTGACCAAATTATGAAATAAATTCTTTAGAAAAGCAAAAATTAAACTCTTATTGTAATTAAAAATGGAACTTTCAATTTAGATCTGAAATTGCCCAATTCTGATTTTCCAGTCGGTACTTGCATTTTTCTGAAGTTCATCACTCCATGGTGCTGACATTGTAGCAAAGCATGATATTTAATGTAGGGTTTTTGTACTTATCATTTGGCAGATTATGGCAATTAATTTTATTTCTTCTTTTTTTCTTTTTGATTGTTTTTGATAATCATTGAACTTCGTCAATTGCTTTATAAGTAACTATTAAGCATGATGTTTTCTTCTACTCTCAAAAAACTTATTATTATTTCAATGAACTGTTACAGAACAGCCATCATTCTTTTAATGTGTGAATTTTAATGGTTATTGATAAATGTTAGACCAAATTTATATTTCTGAAATGAAACCAACTTGGTTGTGTGTTATATTGTTGTTGTTGTTGTTGTTGTTATGTGCCATCGAGTGGCTTGTGACTCATAGCGACCCTAGTCTTTTAAAAAAAACAGATATTTAAGATTCTTTATATTTGTTAGATTTAAAATAACTCCTGAATATTTTTAAGCTTTTTTTTCTGAAAATACTGACATGTTTATGATCTTTGGCAGATTCTATTTTTGTTTGTTTTTGATGTTACATATTTTATTTTATTATTTATTTTATTTTATAGTATAGTCACTTGTCCAAAATGACAAGCTCCCAACCAGTTACATGTTCTACAGAGTATTTCCTCCTGCCCCTCATCACATCAGCAAGTGATTCATTTCTTGGGCATATTTCCAAAATTATCTAGGTCTCTGTTCCTTATCTGTACTATAAAACATAAGCTTGCCTCCTAGGAACATTGAAATATTAAATTAACTCACTAATTTAATATATTCAGCATATTTCCTAGAATATGGAATATACTCATTGGTTGCTGGCTATTTTGCCTTTGGGCAGGGAAATAAAACTATGTCTGTATGTGTTTTGAACCATTATATGTTTAGATTTTATTATTTCATTCTTTAGTAACTGTTTCTATCAAACTGTCTAGTAACTATTTAAAAACTATTTAGTAACTATCTAACCTATCCTTTTACAATTGTAGATGTTTCACATTTGGTATTGGAGAAGGTGCATCCACCAGCTTGATAAAAGGCATTGCCCGGGTGACAGGGGGCACTTCAGAGTTTATCAGTGGCAAGGACAGGATGCAGTCCAAGGTGAGGGACAGGTTGTGCATGCAGGAGCATTGGTTAGAGTGCTTGTGGAGCAGGATGGTGGACACAACTACAAACATGGAGGCAACTACATGACTCTTAAGATTCATTTTAATTTTGTTAAGGTTAAAAAAAGTAAAGATAGATTTATTAGAAAATTACATTTTAAAGGGACAGACCTCCCTCCTTGAAAGGAAATATGGAGGAGAGGCAGCATGTTGATGAGGTGAGATAGTATTTATGGCTTCCTTCTCTGGCTAGGCCTTGGTGCTAGAGCCTGGGCCAGTGACACAATGCTATGGAGAGTTCAAAGCTTAGTGAGAGTGATTCTCATTTTGGTGCCTGTTCTCTTTTTTGGTATGCACCAAAGGGCATTAGACTCTCAACTTAATCAGACTGTTTTGGACCTTATGTATAAGATGTTCCCCTCCTACTTTCTGTATGGTATATGACCTTGGTAGTTGGGAGCCCATAGATGAAATACTGAAAGTGGTGGGGACTTTATGTCTGAAATCAAAGCCAAGAATTTTGATTGTCATGATATAAATTAGGCATTTCTTTAAGCATCTCTTTTTGTCCTATATCCATGCAAAAGATACAAGTAAAATGGCAAAGAATGATTTTGATAAATCCCATAGATTGAAAGAGTAGTGAATTGATGCCCATTTGATCAGTATACATAAGAGACACTGAATTTCTATTTATCGCTGAGTACCATCTATAATTCCTCCACAGGTCTCCTTTTCTTCAGTCACATTTTATGTTATTAAATCTCTTAATTAAGCTGCTTCATGATATAGAGGTTCTGGTGGCCTAGTTTTAAGAAGCTACACTGTAATCCCAAAAGCACCTGGTTCAAATCCATCAGCTGTTCCATGGGAGAAGAATGGGAAATCTCCTCTTGTGATATTAACTGCCTTTGAAAAGCCCCTGGAGGGTCAGCTGTGGGTTAGTTCCGGTCCAATGGCAAACAACACCAATGACAGCATGGTATAGAACAAGTATGAGAATACTCATATGCAATAGTGTTAAGGATTAAGATGTAATGTGTCACATAGAGCCTGAAACATAATGAATATTCAGGTAATACTAGTTCTCATTGCTGCTACTGTTTGTGTGGTTATTCTGTCCTCTCTTCCTCCAGGCTCTTTTGGCCCTGAAGCATTCTCTGCAGCCTGTGGTAGAGGACTTGTCAATGAGTTGGTCTTTGTCTTCTGATCTGTCTGCTGAGATGCTTTCCCCAGAACAGTCAGTCATTTTTAGGGGTCAGAGATTGATCACCTATGCCAAATTGAATGGGCCAGTGGCGGTGAGTTCTCATTCTTGCTTGTTCCTCTTGTAATATCAGCTATTCCCTTAATGCTGTACCAAATAATGCCAATAAAGCTAATAGGTGGATCTAGTTCTTATCACCAGTTTCTATGAGGAGCCAGAATGTCACTTCTCTAACATTTCAGATCTCTGCTCTATGGGGTACCAAAGTCCTAGAATTTTTTAAATGGAAGATATTGGATAGATACTTCACTTCTGACTCTTCTCTTGGTGACCTGTCTTTCCTACTCTAATTTGCAGACAGAAGAGGCACAAGGAGAAGTATGTCTCAAGTACGCTCTTCAGGGCAAGAGTTTTGAGACTAAAGTGATATTTTCTCTACTTCCCAAGCCTGATGACAAGTGAGAATTCATAATTTTTCTTTCTTTTGATTTTTTGTAAGAATTCAATTGTTTCTACAAAATGATACCTTCTACCTCTTCTGCCCAAATCTTGTCTCTGCCCTTACCTAGCTTTTCTCCTCTGCTGTCCATAAATTCTGAAGACCCTTAGTAACTGGCCCATGGGTCCATTTCCATAAGTCACAGGAATTTTTTTCATTTCAGTTTCACCATTCACCGCCTTGCTGCCAAGTCTTTGCTCCAGAAAAAGGACATGGGCTTCAGAGAGACTCCAGCAAATGACAGAAAGGATGTTTTGAAGATCAGCCTTGAGTGTGGAGTCATAAGCTCTCATACATCTTTCATTGCAATCAACAAGGATCTCAATCAGCCAGTTCAGGGGCCCATGGTCCGTAGGGACATTCCAGGGCCAATTGTGTTGGGTGCTTTCACCACAATGCATGGAGATATTGGAGGTGGTAAGTTTTATGCCTTTCAAATGCATATGGTGTGAACAAGAGGGCCTAGATAGTTGAACACATTTAAAAGATCCTTAACTTTCCCTGTTTTTGGTGTTCCTCTGCAACTAGGATTCCTATCTATTGTTAAAATGGCTGTCTTTAAACTCAGACTCATAGCCCTGAGTCAGAAATTACCCATATCTGACCCCTCCAGTATGTTCCTGAGACTGTAAAACACACAGGAGGAGATTTCCCATCTTTCTCACGCAGAGGGACCACTAACAGAGGCACAGCTGCACAAAACCCCATTACTGTCAAGTCAGTTCTGATTCGTGGCAGGTTTCCATTGATTGACTCAAGGCCATCAGTCTTAACTAGACCAGGTTGCCTCATCTTTCACCCATGGAGAGACTGCTGAGTTCTAACTCCTAATGTTTTCTTAACTTTCGGTTAGCAGCCCACATTTAACTTACTTCCCTATCTCATAAGATAATATATTATCATAAGATAATATATTTAAAGGGGAAGGCAAGACAAAATAAAAACAAGAAAACATGAATGCAAAGAGAGAGTGCATGAGTGGTTAACTTGTCTAAATCACAATTAGTCTTCTTCCAAAGAGGACTTACTTGTCCTCTTTGTGCACATAGCTGATTACACAGATGGCTAATGTTGACAGCAAATAAATATTGATTCCCAGAACTGTGAAAAGCATACACCAAGATATATAATTATACAACATAAGGCCTTGAAACTCTGGTTAACTCAGGGTAAGAAACTCTGGCCAAGATTCCACAACTGGAGGAGGAAGGATAGTGTATGATGGTAGTTCCAGGGGTACTGTTCAAGATGAGTCCTTTACCATTCATGTAATACTTATTTCATTAAACACATAAGTATTTTAGTGCTTACTTATTACTTATTAGTAAGTGTGCTTCTCATTGCAGTTACACTGATGAAAAAAGATTACATTTTCTGTGTTTCATTTGATGGCTCATGGTTGCTATGATCTGGAACCTAATAATCTAAACTAACAATGTTAAAATAGGTAGCCTGGAAAGGCAAAGACAGCAAACAGACAAAAAAATTTTCAAGGAGATCTAAAAATTACTCTGGATAAATTTAAGATATGAGAAAGCATGTAGGTTGGGAGTCCAATCTACTAGGGTAAAGAAGCAAAAATTATTTCCCAGATAAGTTACATTTAAAAAGAAAACATGATTAGGTAGATTATCTTGGTAAGGAGTAGGGAATAAAAGCATTCTAGATGTCAGAGTCAACATTATGAAAAGTTACAGTTAAAAGAAAGTATCCCTCACTAACTTACTCATTGCTGTGAAGTCAGTTCTGACTCTAAGTGATCCTTCATCAGGTTTCCGAGACTCTAAATCATGAGAGGAGATTGCTTTCTTTCTCCCATAGACTCCTGGTGCATTCAAATTGCCAATGAGGTGAGGCCTTTGGGTTGGTAGAACAACTCATTATGGAGCTTCCACAAAAGAAGAGAATGCTATCAATGATGTAGGTCTTTGGATTTGTAACCAAAATAAGTTCTTTTGTTTTGGCAAACTGAGGAGGAGAGTATATAAGGAAAACAAAGCAAGGGCTGAAGGATATCAAGAGTTATGCTGTTAAGAGGGATCATCTGTATGGACATTGAACTGACTCAAGGTGATAGCAAGACTTGGAGAAGAACCTCATAAGAAAAAATCTTAGACAAATGTGAGAAGTGACCAAGAGGTTGGTAAATTATTATAAGAATGAGCTGACACTTAGGTGAAATCATCATGCGCCAGGCTTTTTTCAAAGTGCAATCCATATATTAAGGCAATTAAATTTTACAGTTACCTTATAAATCAATTACTTCCATTTTACAGTAACTATGCTAAAGACATTGAAATATATTTGAGGGAGCTTGAATTAAGTTTATGAGGGGATTGATGTAATTAACCTTGTGTTTCATGAACTTCACTCCATTAGTGTAAAAAATAGCTTGAATAGAAGCTGAACTTCTAGGGAGACAGATGCTAAACCACTGCTTTAAGTCAAGGGAAAGCAGTAGACTATAGAGAGGTACTAGCAGTTAGTATGAACGTGCGAGAGCATATTAGACAGGGTTTTAGTTGATTGATGTGAACATGGTAAATGATCAATGCTCAGATTTCTGGTTTAGGTACTGAGTGAATAATGATATCATAAACAGAAAACCAAAAAATGGGAGCAAGGTTGGAGTCAGGAAAATGTTAAATAGCTTTCAGAACATTTGGAACTTGAGATACCTACATGAAGAAGTCTGGTAGAAAGACAAACAGATGGTCAAGTATTCAAGAGGGACATCAGAATGAAGGATAGAACTTGGATACCTCTGATATCCAAAATAGTAATAATCAATAACAACTAAAGCCACAACTGTGAATAAAATTATTCTGAAAAATGAAAAAGGAGGGAAAATTGAAGACATAAGAAATACCTGGTTGCTATCTAAGGGTTGGGCAACAGAGAAGCCCAGAAACAAGAATCGAAGGAATGAAGTAGGAAGAAAGGAAGTGATAGGATGGTCTAAATGAAACTATGGCCCAATGAAGGAAATGATCAAAGTATTAGATACTGCACAGATGTTTAATAAAATGTTAAATTAAGTATCAAAGTAGTACTAGTTCTTATTAGGATCAGTTTTCTCAGAATTAATAATATGATAATCTGTACTATAAAATGTTAGAGAGAAAATAAAGAAGCCCTGACGGTTCAGTGGACAATGATAACTAAAAGATAAACAGCCACCTAGAGACTCTACATGGAGATCTGGTGGCTTAGTGGTAAATAATTGCCGTGCCAGTACAAAAGTATGTGGTTAGAGGCAACAGGCATGCAGTGTTGCACATGCCTCTGAATGTGGAAGTGGCAGATCCTTGGTGGGAAGCCTACCAGTGATTAAGATCCCTACCCAGTTTCAAAAGTGGCAGGTGCTCAGCTCATGTCCTTCTCAGCTTACTTCGCTGTGTATTTGTTTTACACAGTGTCTCTAACTTGATGAGCATTCCATGAAATTCCCTTTTCCTTACCCGTGCAGGTTGCCTTCTCAAAATGGCTATGCTCATTATATGATACTCAGTTTCTCAGAATGGCTCTGCTGTTTTACTCTTCTGCTCTGTCTTCTTGATCACTGTTTTCATTCTATTACTCTCCCCAATCAGTATTTAAAGCCATTTACTTTCTTTTAAATCTGAGTTCCAGGATTATTATCTATCTGTATCTATTTCACTTAGTTTCTCAGATTTTTTGATGTATAAAGAGTGGGAAGAATATGTCAACAGGATGTCATTTTGACTACTTCATTTTAGTTTTTGCTAATGTTACAATATGCAAAGGCTTTTCACTGTGTGGATCACAACAAGCTATGGCTGACTCTGAGAAGAATGGGATTTCCAGAACATTTGTTTGTGCTAATGCGAAACCTATACTGGACCAAAAGGCAGTCGTCAGAACAGAGCAGGGAGACATAGGATGGTTCAAAATCAAGAGAGAGGGCCGTCAGGGATATATTTTGTCTCCATACTTTTTCAATCTGTATGCAGAACAGATCATCTGAGACACTGGGCTGTATAAAGAGGAATGTGGCATCAGGATCCGTGGAAGAATCATCAACAACCTGTGTTATGCAGATGACGCAACCCTGCTTGCTGAAACTGAGGAAGACCTGAGGCGCTTGCTGCAGAAGGTCAGGGACTGCAGTCTTCAATATGGATTGAAGCTCAATATCAGGAAACCAAAGATTCTCACCACTGGGCAAATGGAAGCATCAGTATGGATAGTGAAGAGATTGAGATAGTTAACAGTTTTAGTTTACTTGGCTCCACAGTCAACACTGTTGGTAACAGCAGCCAGGAAATCAGGAGACTAATTGCATTGGGAAAGTCAGCTGTTAGGGACCTCTCAAGAGTACTGAAGAGCAACGGCATCAGGCTGGAGACTAAGGTGCGCCTGATCCAGGCTATAGTCTTTGCAATTACATGCTATGCATCAGAGAGTTGGACAATGAATAGGGATGATAGAAAGAGAATTGATGCCTAGGAGAACAAACAGGTTTGTCCTGGAGAGGGTGAAGCCAGAATGTTCTTTGGAGTCAAGGATTCTGAAGCTTCATCTGACATATTTTGGGCATGTTGCAAGGAGGGACTGGTCCTTAGAGAGGGACATCTTGTTTGGGAGAATGGAGGGACGGCACAGGAGAGGAAGACCCTCGATTAGATGGGTCGATTCTGTGAGTGGAGTGGTGGGAATGAATGTATTTGATACAGCGAGGTTGGCACAGGATAGAACGGTGTATAGGGCTCTTGTACATAGGGTCACTATGAGTTGCAAATGACTCGATGACACATAACAACAAACAACAATGTTAGAATATGAGAGTATGTTATTATGCTGGTTGGAAGGTACTTAAAGAGAGAGATGATTAAGAAGGTGTTTGAGAAAGCCAGGAAGTGATGGAATTTGGTGAAGTAGGAGATAGTTTAGTCTTCAACAGAACAAGTACCCTTTTTTGTCTTATTGCTTGAAAGTTAGGTCAATGTGGTATTAGAGCTTAGTTTATAGACAGGTAAACAATTTTTGGAGTTTCTGGTTGGTGATTTTAACATAGTTTTAATAAAATAGAAAGATTAACTTATGAATATGAAAGTGAAGATAGTAAAATAAGAGGTTTAAGGAAGAGCTGAGAATTTGAACTAATGGTTGTGAGTAATTAAAGAGTGGAATTCCCAGGAAGAAATGGAAGGCTTTGTCAAGGAGTCCTAAGGATACAGATTAATGCTTGGACATTTTCCTTGACCCAAACTACTAAAGAAGATTGCGGTTTTTGGTCACATTTGACAGTACTTAATATCTTTGATAAAAGAATGATGGAAATATATATAGTTGGATTCATTTTAAGGCTTGTGTTTTGCCTGATGACTGTGTTGAAAGTTATCAGGGGTATAGTTTTGGGGATAATGATGTAGGTGTCATAATGTTATACCTGAGATTTAGGCTAAGTAAAGAAAAATGGATAGAGAAGGGAGTAAAGATAGAAGGAACTTAATAGAATAAAAAGAGAAGTCAAAGAATGGAAGTAGAGACCCAGATAGGTCAAAATTAAGTAGAATAAGACCTTGTGTGTTAAAAAGCTGGAATAAGGAGGTCTCATGGCCTAGTGGTAAAAGTGGCACGCTCAGCATAGCTGCTTTGTGGCAGAAAGATGGGCAATCTATTTTTGTGTGATTTAAAGCTTCTGAAATCCACTGAAGGATCAGGTACTAGTGGATTCTGACTCAATGGCACACAGTCACAACAACAACTGGTAGCTTAGTCTATGGTGAGTTGTGCTGCTAGCCCAAAGTTGAGCTTCCCTAGCTTCCCTAGCGATTCAAATTCACCAGCAGCTCCTCAGGAGAAGGACGAACAGGTTTCCCCCATGCAATTTATAGCCTCAGAAATTCAGTGGGGGGCTCAACAACAATGAGAAGAAAAACTATTTTAAAATAAAATCTTTTGTTTTCAGTTTATGTCTTAAAAATAGAACAGTTTGCATGATAGCAAATAACTAGATTGAGGAGAAGAGCTGAAGAAATTAAAGTTGAGAAGCTCTAGGAGCTGTAAGTTAGGGTTGTGTAGGTTAGCTCCATGATTCTGAAGTCAAGATGGATTTCAGACATTACACTGAAGTGGACTTCTATGATATTTGTAACTTTCAGTCAATCCAGTGCATGATGGACAGAGACAAAAAGAGGCCGGCAATAGTAATGGCATGTGAAAGGTAACACATATTAGGGTGAAGGAGTCATAATATAGATTTGGTATCAAAGATTGAAGGAGTTACTGATGCTGCCTCCAAGCCTGGGTATTTGGAGTATGATAAATAAAGATATAACAATATATGAAGAAAAAAATATAATACTATTTGGAGGGCAAATTAGCCTGAAGACAGATTGTTGTAAAAAAGTGGTGTATAACAAGGCTAGATATTAAAAAAAACCCCATACATATTGTATCAGGGATTCCAGAAATTCCAGAGAACATGGCAGAAAGGACTCAGAGGAAAAGCATATCTGTGGGATATTGGTGCATAGAAGAGAAAGGATAGCAGAATGAGGGTGGTATCCATGACTGATTTGTATGGGTAGAAATATGTTTCCAATTATGAGGGCCTTTTGTCTACTCCAGAGGACAGTGGGCATTTCAATAGCCACATCTGAATTGGTATTTTTCAGCTTCTTCGAAGGCCTCACCGTCCTCTGATATGCCAGGAGCTGAGTCCATGGACAGGATTCCTTATAACTCACACTGGCCATGTCATCCAAGAAGCAGTGCAATGGCGAAGTATTTTGGTCATTGTAAACCAATGAGTAACAGGGAATTGTATGCTCTAGGTAAGCAACTTTTCTGAGTGTTTACTCACTAGTGTTTTTCTATCACAATAAGACTAGGCAAATCCAAAGCTCTTGGTGTAAAACCAAAGAAGAAATGCATGTCTCTCAAAGAGACCTCCCCTGAGATGGGAAGGACTCACTCATCTACCAGTACAACCAACTTGGAGACTCACCAGGCAGGTGAAGGTGGGCCTCAGCTTGCTTTTATAATCTATAGAGAATAAATAACTAATTTTCAATGCTTTGCACTCATGTAGCTTTTTTTGTACTAAGGTAGTAATTCAGTGGGGAAGCATCAGGGGTTGAGATTTGTCCAGTCTCTAGATTTGTCATGGTTAACCTACGAGCTTAGTTTACAGTCTAGGACTCTCAAATCCAATATCCCCAATGGAGTCTTTGCTGTCTCACTTCACACAACTTACTTGCAAGCTGAGGCGTTCTTCTTATTTGTCACTTATTTCCTGATTTGGTCATTCTTCTTTGAAAACCAGTTAAATAGAGAGGATTTAGATTTGAAGAGGATTCAGATCTCTCTGTTAGTACTGCCTATATGGATTTAGGGACTGTGTTCCCTTCTCAGAACCTTAGTTCCCTCAGTTGAACACCTACCTTATAGGGCTATCACAAGAATGTTCATACTGTTACCAGCAAATTAAATTCTTAACATGTGTGGGTTTCTGCCTCTGTTGTGGCAATTTAGATCTCTCCTCTGAAAGCTATCATCTCCTATTAGGAGTCAACCTTTGTTTAGGTATTTTAAATACTGAGGTTCATATTAGTTAAAAAGAAAAAAAAACCTTTTATACTTCTACTAAGATAGTAAAACTGAGGTTTAAACTAAGACTTTAAATTCAGAGCCTTAATTTTGTTTTTCATTTACATAGAACTATTTTAATGTTTTGGTTTGCATACAAATCTCTTGGCAGAAAAGAAAAGAAAAATGAAAAACTGTAACTAATCTCTAACTTACTCTAAAGTCATGATTAGATATAATAGAATCTAAATAGATATAGAATCTAAATTCATCATATCATTTACAGATATAACATACTTCTTTAATATCATTATATACTCCTGAAGCAGTACCCATATCATCAGAATTATACTAAACCATTCTCTGAGTTAGACTGCTTCTTTCATATTTGCTTTCATTCTTAAATTTTTTAAAACTTAAGTTCAAGCTATTCTTGTATAGATTTTTAAAAATGTACTTAAAGTTTTACATTTTTTTTAAAACCTGATATAACTTTTAAAGAGCATGGCTTACTGGTTCTTCAGTGTCTCATATTTTCTCCTTTTGATGTATTTGAAGCATCCTTCTCCTGGAATCAGCACTTCTGAGTACCATCTTTTGTTCACAGAGTGAATGCACATATCCTAGAAGGCTAGCAGTAGAGATCTTGGCAGGGCCTGCTTGCCTCTGTACTCTCCCTACAGCTTATCTCTGAATACAGTAGTCTCTTTCAGGTTTGCTGACTGGAAAGTAGCTCAATAAGTTTTCATCCTCTTTGTTTCCCTCAAAGTGTTTGGAGATAATCATCTTGTGCTGCTGATTTCCCTTCAAAAGGCAGATGGTTCCTGGGAAGTGAATGAAGGTCTGGCCATGGTCCTAGGTATGAGTGTGGAAGATGTACTTGCTGGCCTTCCTTACAAGGTGAGATTCCAAGAAGAAAAATGAATGAGTATGTATATATATCTATGTTTGTGATAATGGGGCAATAGTGAGAATTGAGGGTAGGTCAGGACCCCTGAAAAAGAGAGTATAAATTGTTGTTGATTCATTCAGATACCATACTGAAACTCAGATCTACTTCATCTGTTTTTTCTTAAATAAATTTTTATTTTATACTGGTTTGTTTACACAGTTCTTATACATTGTTTTTCACATTGGATCTTTCCATTTTCTTTACCTACCCATCTTTCTACCCATCATGACTCACCCCTCTGCTCCTTAGATCCTCATACCCATTTTGCTAGTTATTTTTCTATTTCTATATCTGTCTGCATAATGATCTTATTAAGTATTTTTCCTTATGGAACTAAGTTAGTTCACTTAGCATAATGCTTTCCAGTCCCTTCCAGGTTATTTAGTAATTTTTGAAATTATTGTTCCTGCATGCTGCATAGTATTTCATCATGTGAATGTACCACAATTGCTCACCATATTCAATTGTGATTGGACATTTGAGCTGTTTCCATGTTCTTGCAATGGTGAATAACGCCGCTATGAACGTTGGTGTATACAAATCTGTGTGTCTCATTTCCAATTTTCTTAGTGTCTATTCCAAGCTTCACTCCATCTTTTGTCTCTTTGTTTACTGAGTTAGTGTGTCAGAGAATGAAATAATAGTCTGAAATGTTTTATTCTCAATGAATCTGGGCCTTTTTCAGTTCTTGAGTCTTTTCCAAATCATCACTGATTATCCCAGAATGGCATTGTCTCTATAAATAATATGTAATTTGAAATGTATAATTTTAGATTATATGTTAATTGCCTTTTTCCTTTTTTTAAAAGAAGAATAAAGAGGTGAAGCTATCTTAGCATTATTAAATAATCACATCACTTTATTTTGCATATGAAAAAAGTAAAAATTTGCTACTAAAAAGTAATTTTTAAATTAAATGTTATTAAGATAAATTTACTTCTTTATTTTTACTTTATATGGCACTTTCTCAAAAAGTTGCAAATAGAAATAACATTTGACCCAGCAATCCCACTACTAGGAATATACCCCAAAGAAACTATAACCACCACCCAAGCAGATATAAACACTCCCATGTCTATCGTGGCTTTGTTCACAATAGCAAAGAGTTGGAAACAACCTAAATGTCCATCAACAAACAAATGGATAAAGAAGCTGTGGTATAGTCGCACAATGGAATACTATGCAGCATTGAAAAACAAGGAACTCATGAAATATTATGCAAGATGGATGACCCTGGAGGACATTATGCTGAGTGAAATATCTCAGTCACAAAAAGACAAATATTGCATAGGGCCACTGTTGTAAAACGGTACTGACATCGGAGTTGAGGGACAAAAAAGGAGGAGAGGAATGATGTATATTGCATTGAAACAGATGAGGGACAAACCTGTTTAAAAGGGACATATGAATGGGTATTCTTCTCATTACAGAAGTCCAGAGTGAAGGCTGAATAGTGGAGTGGACTTGGGGTAGGGATTGCATAACAATGAGTTTTTCTTTTTCCTTTCAAAGAGAAGAGTGAATTGGGGAGGGGGGAGTAGGGGAGAAAAGTGCAACAATGAATGACCAGAAATCCAAGTCTTTGTAAACTTTCATTAAAATTAATAAGAAGGGACAAATGCTATATGGTGCCACTGTTGTAGAATGAGGCTGGCATTGAGGTGGGGGTAAGACTGAGAAAAACTGGATGGAATATGTTTACAGCATTGAAGTCTATGGGGGAGAGAATAGTCTAAAAGTATTATATTTTAGGGCATTATTTTTATCGTAGGAGTATGCAATGAGGGTTGCAGAGTGGATTATATTTGGGGGTAGGGGGTGGGGGTGCGGGGGGATTGTGTACCAATGAGGGAGTTTTTCTTTTGCTTTTCAAGGAGAGGAGCAAAAGGGGGGGGAGGCAGGAGGGGTTTGTGCGGGGAGAAGGGTGCAACAATGAATGAATGGAATTCCAAAATCTCTGTAGATGTTCATTGAAATGAAAAATAAACAACCTAAGAAAATTAATAAGAAAAAAATTAGGATATGATAACATATAAAAGAATGACTGAAAAAAAATTTAAAAAGTAAAACAGAGTGGCTTATAGAAAGTTTAAAATTACACATGTGACTCATCTGTAAGGCTAGGCAATTAAGAGATTTAGTGTATTTAAATTTAAATAATGCTTTTTAAGTGTTTAATAATTCTATGGATAGTACAAAATTAGTTGAAAAGTCCAAATATTAAATTGGTTTCAAACTTTAAATAAATTCTTAAAACCTTCAGAATTTTTACTAATCTAGAGTTCCATATTTTTATTAAGTTTTCATAATTTACTTCCAGTTGTGACATTGAAAGGAGATATATGTAATTTTTTCAATTACTATGATCTTTGCTTTTTTTGTTTTTAGCAAGAAGAGAATATTCATGCTTTGACATACGAGGAAGAATTAAAGGAATTAAAAAAAAAAAAGAAATTCTCTATATAACTTCAATATACTAAAGTACTTTCTAAAATCAAATTACTTGGACTTTAGTCCCAGAACCATCATTGGCTAGAAGATGAACTTCTATGAATCAAGTCCTCTCAAAAAGGATGTTATTAAAGAACTCTGAGTAGGCTTAGATTTACCATTAATTTCATTTATTACTTTATTGTTGAAAATTTATACAAAATAAAAACACTATGCAGTCACTTTATAAAATATAAAGTAACTGCATATGTTGTAATAACGTTTTGGTAATCCCTTTTGCATGTTTGTAGGGATTTAAAATTAAGGACTGTATGGATAGTTTTGGAAGCAGGAGTGGCATCCACTTCCTAAACAACATGCCTCTGGAAACACTATGACCTTTGATAAATGTCAATAGTTTATAGAAAGGCTTCAGACCTTTTGTTCATAGGGTCGCTATAAGTTGCGCTCAATTTGAAGGCAATCAACAACAATAACTGATAGTTACATTGGACTTAAAATATCAATCCTTTCTATCTTAATATTAAGAAATCATTGTTCTGAGCTTCAAGGCCTTGAATGATAATTAATTAACTTTCAAGAAGTAAATACAGGCACAGAAATATCTAAAAATACTCATTTAGTAGCAGTTTGAGGGTAGTGAATTAAGAGGGAGTGCAAAATTTTTCTTTCCCTTGAAGAATTTCCTCTTTCAACTTGGAAGCTTCAGAGATATCCCTGTCTATTGTATAGGAGATAGATTCTTCAGGCTGGGCTACTGTCCTGGCTTTGTTCTGGCTGCATACCTATGGTAAGGAGCTGCAGAGTGACTGGCAGATGATGGCAGAGAAGGCAATGCTCTGGATTCACAAGAATATAGGTAAGAGCACAACCTGAGAGATCACACATCTTCACCCTTAGCCCCACCCCAGAAACTTTATACTCATTGAATCTCTGAGTCTAATGAACAATATGGAGCAGAGAGGGTATCCATAGTCCCATTGCCACTGTCATCTTTGTCATGGAATGGAAGTGTGGGACTAACTTTTAAGGCTAGTAGGGGTGAAAAATATGAAGCAGAGTTTATATAGGGTATGATCTTGGTGCCAAGAGGAATATCAAACTGAAATTGAAGCCTTTACTCTGGGAGTGTTTATTATTCCATGTTGTTATTGTTGTAGTGTGCCTGTTGAGTCAGAACCAATCCATAACTGATCCTCCACCAAATCTTAAGAGGCTGTAAGTTGTGTGAAGGACAATTGCTCAACCTTCTACCTCAGAGCAGCTATTGGATTTAAACTATGTGCCTCAGTGGATTCTTACCACTAAGTCATCAGATTTCCTGTTGTTTACTCATGCTACTGAGTAATTCTGGGACCAGAGAAGATTAAAGGAGATTGTGGGCAATAGGAAGATAAGAATCAAGAAATGTGAGGGAACATACAGCCCCAGATACTTTGAGAGAGTGTAGAAGTCTCCACCACTCTTTTCCTCACTGTGCCTTGACTCCAGATTCACTGTTTTTCTCTCATTGTAGGCCCTACCATGCATCAACTTCTGAAACCTGCTGCTAACCTCGTGTTCTCAAGTAAGAGTGCTAAAAAATCAAATCCCTGAAGACACCATCCAGAAGCACAAATACCTCTTCTTAGCTACTGCCTTGTCCTTTATTCTTCTTTTCTGCCATGAAGTGTCTTTGTATTTTACATCTTTTTTAAAAAAAATGATTTCTGTCATAAAAGTAAAAGATATCCACCTTATGTACTTCCTGTTCCCAGATTCTCCTTGACTGCCATCTTCCTGTCTCCACATCATGCCCATTTGAGCAAGTATTAGTAGCTATAAAACTTACTCCTTTTCGTGGAGATGTTCACTCCAAGCATTCATAGACAATAATGTTTCTGCCAGCTTTATCAGAGCCCAAAGAGAAGCAAATACCATGGATTGTGGTTTCAGTATTGATGTTAGGGAATGTGTCAATTAGAGATATTTCTTCATTTTATTTGTCTTTTTCACCAGGGTCAGACTGGTGAGCCCTGTAGCTTTCTATTCTGAGGAAGGGAGGTTGATAGCAAATATAAGGATCAGTGTATCTCAAGGTCACACAGAGATACACACAAGAAGTCCCTTGTGACAGTTGACACTGTTGGAGTCATTCTTGAGTGTATCTTCTTGGGATTTTCTAGGTTGCTGAGCAAATCTTTCCTCCGACTCTAAGTTGAGAATATTTATTAGAGTCAGATGTTTTGACTTAATCACTAGTTGAGATATGAACTGATTATGAGTCAGCTAGGCTCTGGTCTGATGTAAAAAAAGGGAAGGTCATTGTCAGACATTAGTTGTGATCTGAACGTAAGGCTGTTTACCCTATTTGTTTTGAAAGGAACTCTGTTTTTGATCTCTTCTATCCATTATCTCCCAAATACCCTAATTTGATGTATTGTCCCCTAGAGTACTGTGTATCAATAATAAAAGTAACAATTGCTAACCTGCATTTTGTTGTATCTAGTCTTTTCATTAAGATTCGTTAATTGGTCCTACATTGGTTTTGTTATTCTTAATTTTCTTTCCTAAATTTACTGCTTCCACTTTTCACTGTGAACTTTTAACTAGTTCACTTTGAACTAGTATGTATCCCAACCACGTGTATTCTTGATATATCATGATGCTGCCAATTGGCCCAGTGGTGAGAATTTTATTTTCTTGCTACTGAGTTTCAATCTATATTGCAGACCCTCTTTGACCCTCTGCAGCAGATGACATATTTGCCCAACGCTAGTCCAAAAAAGTGCTGAAGCTAGATTATAATCCTTAAAGGTCACGTGATTAAGGGCACATGCTTTATGCTTTCTAGGAATTAATATCTCTATTAAACTGAAACATTGATGTAAGCTCTTTATCCTTTTGAGCTTGAGTAGTTAATAATTCTTAGCCAGAACTCTGTATACCTTTTTTCTGTGGCAGAGGATCAGCTTAGGCCTGTTGCTTTAGTGTGTTTAGTAAATTAGCATTAGCAAGATTATCCCTGTGTGTATAGTGGAGACTAATTTCTCAGGACTGTAATTACTCTTAATTTATTCCTTTATGTTACTTATGATGTAAAGGTTATGGCATTCCCTGTAATATTGTTAGAAGCAAAATTTTAGGTGGTCCAAGACTCTTATATCAGGATCTATAATTTAGAAAACTCCCCAGGTGAGTTGTATGCATATAGGGTTTGAAAAATAAAAGGCTATTGGTTTTTTGGGTTTGGGTTTTGTTTTTTTTTTGTTTTTTTGTATTACCATTTATTGGTGGCAAACACTAACTTTTACTTACAATCCATGGAGAGAAAAAAAATTTCCAGGGTAAATAAGGAATAAAAGTGGTACTTAACGCGCAAGACTCCTGTGCGTATCTGGCCCAGATGCAGCCCTTCCTGCGCACATGTGCACAATCACAACAGCAAAGCAACACAGTTTCCTACAGAAACACAGCTCATTCTTCTCCACCCTACATAGAATATAGTTAACTGTATAAAGCGTTCAAGGAAAATCAACCTGCAGTTTTCTATGGACTATATGGGATCATATCGTGTAGTGTAGTGAAAGTTATGGGTCCTGAAAAGCCGTGTGTGTGTGTGTGTGTGTGTGTGTGTGTGTGTGTGTTTTCACACACAATTGGTTTCATAATCTTTAATACAAAGATCAAAGTTCACTTGTCTAAGCCATTGCATTGACTAAAATAAAAATAAAATAGAAAAGGGGCCAAATATTTATTTAAAGTTTAAAATTCCCAAAACCTCCAATTTATACAACAGGTAGAAACATCACATCAAGGGTTTCTGGAAAGGTGAGGACTGGTGTCAACTGAACCAGAGGACATAACCATCTGCTCACTGCAATGGTCCTGAGTCTGTTAGTTCAATAAAATATAAACTGATAGAACATACACATGGATATGATCTTTGCCAGTTAGGTTATTGATACAGTCAGTCTCAGACAAATTTCAAAACTGTGCTATGTAACTAGATAAAACTGAGAAATTTTCCAATAAAACTTGTATATAGTATCATTTTAATTGAGAGAAAACAAACTAAGAATGTGTCTTGCTGCCTGGAGAGAAAGCAGTGGTTCCGGTGGGCCTGAGGTAGGCGGTGGCCTCCGCACACTAGGAAGTGGGGACTGTGCAGGAAGCAGTTTTATAAAATGGACTTGTATCCAAATGTGTGCCACCTATATAAACCCTATAGGTGTAAGAACAAGAAGAGAGATAGTCCAAAAGGCTGGAAAACTTGTTAATATGTTTTCTGCTCACAAGGTTGATAGGGCTCAGTTGTAACTCTCTGGATTTACCTTTCCATATTTTGGAGAGACAATTTATCTCACGAGCTTAAGAAAAAAGTTGGGTTTTTTTTTTACTTGTTTTTATTTTGTTAAACATTTTCATTTTGTAAGGCTTGACACATGTTGAACCTGAAACAAGAGTGTATACTGTTCTATATCATACCTTATTACTTTCTATACCAACATTTGATATAATTGTGTTATCTGGGATTCGGAGATGGGAGACATTTATTCTATTGATTTTTGCCTACCCAAAGTTAAAGGTAATTATTTTTAAAATATTTTTAATTTTTTTTAGCTTCTTAAAAGAAAATGTCAGCTTATTTGACAATAAAGAATATGATGGTAATGCATTTTTAATAAATGAACTATCTCATTTTGTAAGAATTTATATTTAATATGTTACATACTGAATTATAACATATGTATTTTTTCATGTTATGGTCAGATATCATTCCTTTCCAAAATTATCATTATAATTTCTCTTAGGTAAATATTATTTATATCAAGAAATCATTGTGATCACCATTTCTGGACCAAAACGTATGTAGTTGCTGTCATTTGAAACAACTTCATTATAAAGCTTAAAAGTTAGAACAATCACTTTTGATTTTTGATGGCCATGGCTAACCCATTAAACACAGTATATATTGCAAAACAAAACTATAGGGAAATCAGTTTTATTTAAGGGATAAAAACAAATATTCTTTCACAATAGAATGTATTATTAAGGACATAAGGGCCTGGTTTTGAATTTTTTCCCCAATTAATAAAAGTTTCAAACTCCAAATCTGAGTAATTGGTTCCAGAATAGGGTCCATATTGGGATATCAAATTCTTCTAGGCTCAAAATTCTATTGGAAGATGAAAAATAATGATTTGTTTTAGTCACTGGGATCGTTTATGTAATTGGGTTTAGGATCATATTATTAAAAAGAAAACCTAAAACCAAACTCATTTTCATATGCCTTCTGACACAGTAGCACTTTTCCACATATCTTCCCAAAGCTTTAATATTTAAATTTTATAAAATCAGAGCACCACATCTTTTTTTTTTTTTAAGCCATTACATTTAGACTGACAAGCTTTTGATTAGTACCCAAGAGTTTTAACTACTGAATCATCAGGGCATCTTTTTATCATATTCTAAACAAATTTTTATTTTCTTTAATGATAACATCTTTGTCTCTTCTGATTTTCCTAGTGTTAGACTTAATTCTGCTGATGCTATTAATTAGTGGTCACAAAGAACTCCTTGTACATCTAGTTATTTCTACTCTGTAAGATGAATGCATCCGAGCAAGATCTCCAAGATCATGTTCCACAAATTGTGATGGAATAAATAAATGCTGAGGTTTCCATAACACATTCTAGAGTGAATTTTGGGAAGCTCACTAAAATGAACAAAGTCCAAAGTTAATCTCAGACTTTAGGGAGCTCTGATGGCCTACTGACAAGAAGTTTCACTGAAATCACAGTGATGCTTGTTGAAGTCTACCAGGTGCTTTGCCGGAGAAGCATGGGCATTCTCTTCCTATGTGATTTACTGCTTCTGAAAACCCACGAGAGGGTTAGCTAGGGGTCGGTTTTGATTTGATGTTACATAACAAAAACAATTTCCAATGTTGGCTAAAATTTCTGCAGCTATTTGTGTGAGATTAGTTATTGAAGAAGGATACTTGGGTTGCACTGTTAAAGGGTGCAGATCTGTGGGATTCAGAACTGACCCAAAAACATTGAGTATGAGTTATCAAAGAGAAAAGTATAAAGGGAAACAATGGATAGAACCAATGCTATAATATAAAATACCTTTTAGTTCAACCAGATAATATATACACACACACATATTCAGATAAACATGCATGTATCTAAATATTTATAACTATAGATAGTTTGTTGTTGTTGTTGTTGTTGTGCACTGTTGAATTGGAACAGACCGATAGTTGACCCACCAGCGGGTCTTCAGAGGCAGTTAATCATATGGGATGAGATTTCCCATCTTTCTGCAGAGCAGCTCGTGGCCTTGAGCTCTGGTGGCTAAATGGTAAGAAACTGTGCTGTAATTTTGAAGGCACAACAATCCAAAATCACCAACTTCTCTAGGGAGAAGAGTGGGCAACTTCTTCCGTTTGATTTACCACCTCTGAAAGGCCTTCAGAGGGTCAGCTATGGATCAGTTACAACTTGACAGTACACAACAACAGCAATATGTAAACATGATACTATAAATACTTTTGTGTGTGTATAAATTATGGTAAAAAATGTTTCTTTACCAAAATTATAATTATAATT